TTTTGTTTCAACTTGGAAATGTTTATAATGATATAAAAACAAGGATTCAGTTTGAATTCTGCTTGTGCAGATGTCTTGTCATAGGATTAAAGAATAGAACGATATCCCTTAGTGTCCTCTTTTCAAATGAAATATCTAAATTTAGGTTCACTTTGATTAACTATTTGTTCTTTGTGGGTAATTAAAATATTTACTGGTGCTGTGTTATTTATTTGTTGCGACAGTTTCCCGCAAAAATTAAGCGTGATTGAGAATCGTGAAATGTGATTGGCTAACCCCATGTCGGGCGATGTTGTTCGTGGCTTGTGTCTCACGTCAACTCCAGCCGCTTCATTCTTCAGACAATCGCGAACACCTCTCTCGCAGGGGTTGTTTTTAACTGTGCCCAGCTGTGTTTAGAAAACATGAGGCAAACAGATGATTGATAAGCGGCTATAATCGATTAAGAAGAGGAGAAGAAAACGTAAATCAGAAAATTAGTCATCGGAGAGCGCTTAATTCATTTGGTATGCGAAATCTGTTCGTGATCGCCGCGTTGTGGTACTTCTCCACTACCACTTTCCACGGAGGAGAAACAACATATTAGGAATTCTAAAGGCTATCAAATGATAGCTTATAAGAAGGTAAGAGTATGCTTCTTTTCTAACACTGTAGCAATAAGGTTTCTTGTTTTAATAAGGCAGTTTGTTTCCCTCTTGAATTTTGTGTTAAATCAATATTTTGCGGTTTGATCTTCGCTATGCAGCAAAGACGAAAGGTTGACCCAGTCAAGCAAATTTTGGCTCGACTTGACGAAAAGCAAAGGAAGGTAAAACATGAAAAATCCTATAATTACGCCCTTTAGATGTTGTTTTCTTTATTTTTATCGTCATAATCAATTATAATCCCTGTTGAGCGCTTTCTTTGTTCTGCAATCTCGCTGTGCTACTTTCATTTTGCTGGTTTGTTTCCTTCAGACGTCCTAAATAATTTACCCTTCCCAAGAGAAATAAGCTTAACTCGGCAAAATCCTAAAACCAAATAAATCCTTTAGATTTTTGCAATGGTTCGTATAATTTTTGCATGTTTATACCTTGGACAACCGGGCAGTTTCGCTTCGTAAGAAAATTACAGGGTATTAGATTACGTTTAGTAGCCATAGAAACATGATACTCCTAAGCATTTTGCATATAAGCTTATTTGCATATATTGTGGGAATCAAGCATAAAACACTTTCTAATTATTTTAAAAACTGTTTCAGCAGTAAAGAAGTAATGTTGCTTGTAGACTGGGTTATTTTTTGTCTCTAGTTATTTTACAAAAAAAAAAACACAAAAATGTGGGTAAAAGATAAAAATTTAAAGAAAAAATGAAAATCTCTTCAAGCCTCAGTAAACAACAATACCAAAAATATTTACCACATTGCATTACATTCGGTGATTTTCTATTTGTATTTTGTTATGTATCTCTAGTCAGGATTGTCTTTATACTCAAGAAATGACATCCATAAATCAGCAAAAGAGGAAGCTCTGCCAATGGTACATCCATTTAATGGTAGGAAGTATGCATATTAATCATGTAACTGTTCTTAGCTTGAGCTGTTCATAGAACTTACCATAACCAGATGCCAACCTGGGAGATCACTAAGTCTAAAAAAATATGTTGTTAAAAGCAGAAGAGCTCTGCCGATAATTTAAACCTCTTTTGCTCCTTAGCTCAAATGTGGCCATAAAACCTTAGGGAGCTACCTTTAGTGCTTCACTTTGTTCTGGGTGATTTGGTGACTCGTCTGGAGACTGGTACATGTTGATAATGTTGGTCTGCGTCGTGCTTATGACATTTTTGCTCGGGCATGTACAGAAATCAAAATTTTGAGATGGTTTTTGGATGAGAAAGTGACCTACATCTTACATTTTTTTTTTTTTTTACTTTTTTTTCGCTTTTCCTTTTTCTCCTTTTCTTATCTTTTTGCTGCAGTGATTGACCCTCTATTGGGCTTGCTTCCAGTTCAAAAAATTCTGAGAAAGCACTATCAAGATGGGCAATCTTTACCATGGAATAGCCATGTGTAGTCACAGGAAATTTTGCTCTGATTTTTTCACTCAAATTTCTGAGCCGATCACTCTGATCTGGGTATCATTAGAACTTGAGTATAGATAATGCCAAATCTGGTCATAGGTGATGATGTCAGAAGTGGAACAAAGGCCAATGTTCGTCATGGTCGGTTACAGACGGCACAAGAGTCAGCAGGTTAAAAGGATGCAAAAATCCTTTGATGGGGATATATTTAGTTTATATTATATTTGTAAAGCACAAATCAAGTTCTTCAGACCCTTTATGTACATCAAAATGTTTGAGCATACCATGTTTCTATTGAGTTTTAGTGTGAATCTACTAGCGTTCTATCATGAATGCCGTTCTCTGATTGGCTACGCTAATCACTATATATTCCATTCTGTGATAGATAGTGAGTAGCGTAGCAGTGTGCCCTTGCTAGCAAAATGACGGCCGCTTCTTGGCATTTTCAAAGTGCCTGTGAAGAGGATTTAGATGAAGTTTTGAACGACTCGTAGATTCACACTAAACCAATTAGATTACTCGCTCTCAATTTCTATGCATGACAGCTGTCTCAGGCTGCGCCCTCGTCAACTATCATTCGATAGAAATCTTAAGCTCATAATCTAATTGTTTAAAAAAGTACACAATGGGAAGTTTGGGAGAATAAGAAATGCTGTGGGGACACAAGCTACCAAAGCTTTTCCAAGGTCTCCCAAACTTCCACTTTCTGTTAAACAATTAGCTTATGAGCTCGAGGTTTCTATCGCCTTATCCCATTATTGTGTCTGTGTTTTTATGTCTTAGTCTGTTATTCTGTAGTCCTCTTTGTTCAGCTCTAAAAATTATACTAAAACAATAATTATTCACCTCAGGCTCAGTGAACATTGGTGAATATTCACCTTGACTCCATCTCGGTAAGTATTCACCAATGTTCACTTCACCTTCGGTGAATAATTGATAAACAATATTACTAGCCTAGCCTCTCTAATCATGTAGCAGTTAAATTTTGTATTTCTTTCTATATTTTCAGTTTCTTGTTAAAGTATGTTAAGTAATATATGACCTTTTTTCTCTAATTTGTTTATTCAGAAGCAAACTCTGCATCAAGCAAAAGCTCTCCATTTTTCCAAGACCTGTCAGCTGCTCGTCGAAAGGCTCACAGAAGGTTAGGTTCCACATTATTGTCACAATTCAAAAATAGAAAATAGAACATGATTGCCTTACATGGGATCAGCACAAAGGAGTTCTGAAATCATCTAGTTGTGCATAAGCAGTTGTGTGCTCCAATTTGAGTTTTGGGGTTGTTTAGTTTAAACTTAGAAAACTTCAGTCAAATATCATTAGAAATGAATAATTCGTTTCTGGTGATGTTGGACTTATTTTTCCAAGAAAGCATCTCTCTGTATGGTAACACTAAATCAACAACTCAGATCAGAAGGCAAACAGAAATTTAAAAAAAGGCACAGTGACACTCTTGTAAGTATGGAGCATGAAATACTGAGCCCAGATAATTTTGCTTCCTGAAAGGGCACACAAATCTGACTCCTATATTGAAAATTAACACTTGAGCTAGAGAGACCTTTAATTAGAACTTTTTAGAGAGAAAAGTTTGCAATAAGCTAACTTTTTTATTTATCATTTTGCATAAATTTGTGTCTTTTGCAGGTTAAATGTAGGGTTGCAGCATGCTATTGATGACAGTGAGCACAAGACAGCACTGTACATGCAGGCCAAGGCCGACAAACGGCTAAACCTGACCTTTCCTCCTGTCAAGTCACAAGGGACGAATGCTGCCGTAAATCAAGACAGACTGGGTTATTCATTTAGTGGCTGGTCTGATAGCCCTGTAAGTACCCATAATGACAAATCACTTGGCACAATCTTACTGACAAGTTTTGTCACTTGTTCATTAGTACATGACATTTGGGGTCAAACCTAAACTGCAGAATTTGTAATGAACAAAATCAAAAGCTTCTGATAATATATTTTATGGGAGAAGTTGGCTAAGTTGCAGAGTTGTACAGTCGTGAAAACATATAGGCTTGATTTCTGCCACTTTCTTAGGTCCAGCTGCATTTCTCCTGAACCAGTGGCTGGTAATCGAGCAGAGAAAACATGTCAAGACTCTGCAACGTTCAAAGCGTGGAAGTGAAGATAGTTAACTTTTTTCTTTCCATTTGTCATCTTGAATTTACTTATGTCATGCTAAACTTGGAGGTATTCTAAAAATTCATCCCTTGAGAAAGGCTACTGGGGAGTTAAGTGATCTTGGATCTTGTAAAGCTTTTCAAGTAAAGATTTCACATTCTTGCAGACAAAAGATTGTCGTCATCTTCTTTCTTTAGTCAGCAGGAGTGGAGAATCTTCGTCACAATCATAACATGAGCATGAATCCCTTTGGATACAACAGACGAACCTTAGCATTCCAACCAACTTCTCTAAACTATGTTGTGGAGTGGCCTGAGACCTGGCCACTGAAGATCATGTAAGTTACTTTGTTGACATTTAGGCATTGTACAGTTGTCTTTTTAATCATTAAGATTTCAGCAGTCACATTGCAAGGTATGAGATTGTGGTGTATATTGAGGCAATAATTTATCCTTTGGTTGATGGTTTTGTACTGTTTTTTCTTGTCACCTATCCTGTATAATAAATAGAGGATATAACATAGCCGCGGACATACAAAATTTCTCTTTGAGTGCTGCAGAATATTTCATGAGTGAGTACAGCGAATGAGTGAAACATTTTTCAACACTCTAAGAGAAATTTTGTATCTCCAAGTGGCCATGTAATGTGCTATTTGTTATATCAACACCAATGAAATCCCAATCCCTTCCACTTTTGCTGCAAAAGGTGCCATTTATTATGCAACCATGGCAATGGTGATCTTTTCACATGTGATCATATGTTATTTTCGTGTGTGAAGATATGCTTTCAGGTGGAAGCTCAGCTGGTACTTCATTGGTTTTTGTTTCATAACTGATCCTTTACCAGACACTTGGTACCTAATAACAAAAAAGTGGATTCCTGATTGGCGGTGTTAGAAAAGACATCTCTTTGTATGCAACACAAAAAAGAAAAATCCTCTTTTAGTTGTTGTGTCTGTACAGCAGGTTATGTTTATTGAGTTGTTGATGTTCCTTTGTTTACATTTTATATAGGAGTCTTGGCAAAGGAACTGCAGTGCCCCATAAGAAGAAAACAAAAACCAAGTAGGATTCCTGATTGGCAGTGTTAGCAAAGACATCTCTTCGTATGCAATACAAAAAAAAAAGAAATCAAAAAAAACATTAAATCCTCTTTTAGTTGTTGTGTCTGTACAGCTGGTTATGTTTACTGAGTTGTTGATGTTCCTTTGTTTACATTCTATATAGGAGTCTTGGCAAAGGAAATACAGTGCCCCATAAGAAGAAAACCAAGACCAGGTAGGTGATTTTTCTTTATATCTTATCATAATTAAATGAGCTCAGTTGTGGTATTTTGGAGTTATTTTGGCCATGTATAGGCTCAATTTCCAATCGCTGTTCGGGAAACAAGCCCGTGCTCTTCCCCAGAAGCAAGGAATGCAGACCGGACGTGAAGGATCAGTGGAAATTGAGCTTAGGCCATGTACAGAACTATTTTTATACTGAAGTAAGGCTGAAAATAGTAGTAGAAAGGCACCAAAGAGATAATGATAAACCATAAAGGAACAAGGATGGTTAAGGATGAGGAAGATTGACACGGAATGACGAACTTGAAATATTTAGGCTAAACTTTCAAGTCACACAAACCGTGAAGTAGCTCCTTGAAGCATGTGGTATAAACACATGCTCATTTGTGACCATAATGTGTCTCTTACTCCCTATTGAGTGTTGTTTCATTTTTCAACAGACCCAAAGTAAATCGCAAAGTACATTTTGAGAAATCTCCAGCTCCTCCTACATCACCTCTTGGAGAATCCAGAAATATAAAAAAACAAGCACCTACTGAAGCTGTAGCATATGACCAGTCTAAACAGGTTTTACGTCAAATGAAAAATCCTGCAGCAACAGGAACAGCCCTCCCACACTCACCCATCATTGAAGAACCCATGGATAAAAGAGAAGTCGAGGAATCCCCTTTGACGGGGCAAGCTTTAGAAGGAAATGCTAGCAGTAACATACTTGACATTGAAGAAAGACGCAGTTCAGAAATTCCAGTTGAGTACTCTGAGACAAGCTCCTTATCAGAAAGTACTTATGTGGACTCCTTTCAGGACAAGCTGAAGGTGAGTGGGTTTGTTTCTTTGCCTGGTTAAGTTTGTCATTCAGCAGATGCTTGAAGTGGCTTACTGCAGTTATGTGATGTTTAATACGGTGAGTTTTGTCCGTCTAAGGTCGTGCTCTTTTGGGATCAACTGCTTCTGGCTGGTTGGATTGGTTGGGATTGAGGAAAAATCCTTTTTGGATACTTTGGTTGATCAACTCTTTCAACCGGCCTCAAACCAGGTTGCAAAAACATTTGCGTGATTATAGCTCGCGTAAGGACTTTTCCCAGGAGTTACCTCATTTTGACCAAAAACGATTAGAAAAGTGTTCTATTGGGAACGTCAACCGTATCAACCCAAGCCGGTTGCGGTTTTCAACCATATCACAGTCCTTGAACCAACAGCTTTTTTGTCCAGTTAAAACTGAGCCCATGATGTTGTTGAGTATATGACTTGACAACTTTCTAAAGCACTTGTGCTGTTCTCTGATAAGACAATCGGAGAGTTCTAATCGTTTTAAGTTATCGGCACTTGTTTTCCTATCTGTTCTAATACGGCCAGATTATTGTTTTTGTGGCCCTTTGGCGACCGGATTAATGGGGTTCCACTGTATCCTTGCCGGTGTTTCTCTCGAAAAAGTTTGAAAACA